TCTTGCTTTTCTGGTTCTTTTAATTGTGATGTTAGGGTTTTGGTTTTAGATCTTTCCTGCTTTCTCTTGTGAGCATTTAATGGTATAAATTTCCCTCTACATACTGCTTTAGCTGTGTTTCAGAGATTCTGGTATGTTGTATCTTTGTTCTCATTGGTTTCAAAGAACATCTTTATTCCTGCCTTCATTTCTTATTTATCTAATAATCATTTAGGAGCAGTTTGTTCAGTTTCCATGTAGTTGTGCAGATTTGAGTGAATTTCTTAATCCTGAGTTCTAATTTGGTTGCACTGTGGTCTGAGAGACTGGCTGTTATGATTTCTGTTCTTTTGCATTTGCTGAGGAGTGATTTACTTCCATATATATGGTCAATTTTAGAGTAAGTGTGATGTGCTGAGAAGAATGTATATTCTGCCAATTTGGGGTAGAGAGATCTGTAGATATACTAGGTACACATGGTCCGGGTCTGAGTTCAAGTCCTGGATATCCTTGTATATTTAGAAGACCCCATTGTCTCAGCCCAAAATCTCCTAAAGATGAGAAGGAACTTCAGCGAAGTCTCAGGATACAAAATCAGTGTGCAGAAATCACAAGCATTCCTATGCACCAATAGCAGACAGAGACCAAATCATGAGCGAACTCCCATTCACAATTGCTACAAAGAGAATGAAATACCTAAGAATACAACTAATGAGATGTTAAGGACCACATCAAGGAGAACTACAAACCATTGTTCAACAAAATAAGAGAGGACACAAATAGATGCAAAAACATTCCATGCTCACAGTTAGGAAGAATCAATATTGTGAAAGTGGCCATACTGCCAAAAGTTATTTTTAGATTCAATGCTATTTCTATCAAGATACCATTGACCTTCTTCACAGAACTAGGAAAACCAACCTTAAACTTCATATGGAACCAAAAGAGAGCCCACATAGCCAAGACAATCCTAAGGGGGGCGGGGGGGGAAGCTGGAGGCATCACATTACCTGACATCAAACTATACTACAAGGCTACAGGAATCAAAACAGCATGATACTGGTACCAAAACAGAGGTATAGACCAGTGGAAGAGAACAGAGGCCTCGGAAGTAATGCCACACATCTACAACCATCTAATCTTTGACAAACCTGACAAGAGCATGCAATGGGGAAAGGATTCATTGTTTAATAAATGGTGTTGGGAAAACCAGCTAGCCAATGTGCAGATGCTGAAACTGGACCACTTCCTTGCACCCTATAGAAAAATTAACTCCAGATGGATTAAAGATTTAAACATAAGACCTAACACCATAAAAACCCTAGAAGAAAACCTAGGCAAATACCATTCAGGACTTAGGCATGGGCAAGGACTTCATTACTAAAACACCAAAAGCAATGGCAACAAAAGCCAAAATAGACAATTGGGATCTAGTTAACCTTAAGAGCTTCTGCACAGCAAAAGAAACTATCATTAGAGTGAACCAACAATCAAGAGAATGGGAAAAACTTTTGCTATCTACCCATCTGGTAAAGGGCTAATATCCAGAATCTACAAAGAACTAAAACAAATTTACAAAAAAAAAAAAAAAAAAACACACAAAAACATCAAAAAGTAGCAAAGGATATGAACAGACACTTTTCAAAAGAAGACATTTATGCAGGCAACAAACATGAGAAAATGCTAATCATCACTGGTCATTAGAGAAATGCAAATTAAAACCACATTGATATACCATCTCATGCCAGTTAGAATGGAGGTCATTAAAAAATCTGGAGACAACAGATGCTGGAGAGGATGTGGAGAAATAGGAATGTTTTTGCACTGTTGGCGGGAGTGTCAATTAGCTCAATCATTGTGGAAGACAGTGTGGCAATTCCTCAAGGATCTAGAGATAGAAATACCATTTGACCCACAAATCCCATTACTGGATATATGTCCAATGGATTATAAATCATTCTATCATAAAGCTACATGTACATGTATGTTCATTGCAACACTGTTTACAATAGCAAAGACTTGGAACCAACCCAAAATGCCCATCTAAGATAGACTGGATAAAGCAAATGTGGCACATATACACCATGGAATACTATGCAGCCATAAAAAATGAAGAGTTCATGTCCTTTGCAGGGACATGGATGAAGCAGCAAACTGACAGAAGAACAGAAAATCACACACAGCATGTTCTCACTCATAACTGATTGTTGAACAATGAGAACACATGGACACAGGGAGGGGAACATCACACACTGTGGCCTGTTGAGGGGTCAGAAAACTAGGAGAGGGATAGCAGGGGATGGGGGGATTGGGGAGGGATAACACTAGGAGAAATTCATAATGTAGATGATGTGGGGGATGGATGCAGTAAACCACCATAGCATGTGTATACCTGTGTAACAATCCTGCACTGTCTGCACATGTACCCCAGTGCTTAAAATATAATTTTAAAAAAATTAAAAAATAAAAATGCTGAGTGATATGTCATCAAACTATTTTTTAAAGTAGAAAAAAATGGTTACTATAAATTTCAGTAGTGTTACTTATGTTGGAAAGAAGAGTGGGACTGAGGAGACACATACCCATTGAAGCCACACCACTGGTAATGCTCTATTTCATGAGTAGATTGGTGTGACTATAAGTATTTTTTCCTTCTTTATGCCTTATAAACCAGTGGTTCCCATCTTTTTGGCACCAGGGATTGATTTCATGGAAGACAATTTTTCCACAGATTGGTGGGGGGATGTTTTCAGGAGGAAACTTATCCCAGATCATCAGGCATTAGATTCTCATAACGAGCACACAGCTTAGATCCCTCACACACTCAGTTCACAATAGGGTTTGTGCTCATAGAAGAATCTAATCATGCTGCTGATCTGACAGGAGACAAAGCTTAGATGGTAATGTTGGCCTGCTCACTGCTCACCTACTACAATGCGAACCCATTCCTAACACAACATGGCCCATTACTGGTCTGTGGCCTGGGGGTTGAGGAACTTTGTAATATAACCCAATTAAGTCTGTATCAAATATTACATAATTGAAGCCATTTTGGAGTACTCATAAAATCTACACATAAGGACAGCATAAAGTGATCTAATAAAGAGTAAATTGTTAATAACATACAGCACAAGTTACTTCTTTAATTCTAAATTTGTGAGACGAAAATAACTATTGTTTTGAAAAGAAAATTTTATCATAACAATAATACAGTTTTAAATTCATATCAATATATATTTGCGTTACATATTTTCTTTTTTTTCTTTATTTTTTGGCCTTTCTTTTTTAAAATATATTTTATTGCATTTTAGGTTTTGGGGTACATGTGAAGAACATGCAGGATTGTTGCATAGGTACATACATGGCAATCTAGTTTGCTACCTTCCTCCCCATCACCTATATCTTGCATTTCTCCCCATGTTATCCCTCCCTAACTCCCCAGCCCCTGCTGTCCCTCCCCTAGTTCCCCCCAACAGACCTCAGTGTGTGATGCTTCCCTCCCTGTGTCCATGTGTTCTCATTGTTCAACACCCATCTATGAGTGAGAACATGTGGTGTTTGATTTTCTGTTCTTTTGTCAGTTTGCTGAGAATGTTGGTTTCGAGGTTCATCCATGACCCTAAAAGGACACGAACAAATCTTTTTTTATAGCTGCATAGTATTCCATGGTGTATGTGTGCCACATTTTCCCTGTCTAGTTCATCATCAATGGGCATTTGGGTTGGCTCCCAAGTCTTTGCTATTATAAACAGTGCTGCAGTGAACATTCATGTACCTGTGTCCTTATAATAGAACAATTTATAATCCTTTGGATATATACCCAGTAATGGGATTGCTGGGTCAAGTGGAATTTCTATATCTAGATACTTGAGGAATCATCACACTGTCTTCCACAGTGGTTGAACTAATTTATACTCCCACCAACACTATAAAAGTATTCCTATTCCTCCACATCCTCTCCAACATCTGTTGTCTCCAGATTTTTTAATGATTGCCATTCTAACTGGTGTGAGTTAGTATCTCAATGTAGTTTTGATTTGCATCTCTCTAATGACCAGTGATGATGAGCATTTTTCCATATGTTTGTTGGCCTCATATATATCTTCTTTCATAAAGTGTCTGTTCATAGCCTTCACCCACTTTTGAATGGGCTTTTTTTTTCTCTTGTAAATCTGTTTTTGTTCTTTGTAGATTCTGAATATTAGCCCTTTGTCAGATGGGTAGATGGCAAAAAATTTTTCCTATTCTGTTGGTTGCTGATTCACTCTAATGATTGTTTCTTTTGCTGTGCAGAAGCTCTTGAGTTTAATTAGGTCCCATTTGTCTATTTTGGCTTTTGTTGCCATTGCCTTTGGTGTTTTAGTCATAAAGTCCTTGCCTATACCTTTGTCCTGAATGGTTTTGCCTAGATTTTCTTGTAGGGTTTTCATGGTATTAGGTCTTATGTTTAAGTCTTTAATCCACCTGGAGTTAACTTTAGTGTAAGGTGTCAGGAAGGGGTCCAGTTTCTGCTTTCTGCACATGGCTAGCCAGTTTTCCCAACACCATTTATTAAACAGGGAATCCTTTCCCCATTGCATGTTTTTGTCAGGCATGTCAAAGATCAGATGGTTGTAAATGTGTGGCATTTCCTCTGAGACCTCTGTTCTGTTCCATTGATCTATATCTCTGTTTTGGTACCAGTACCAAGCTGTTTTGATTACTGTAGCCTTGTAGTATTGTTTGAAGTCAGGTAGTGTGAGGCCTCCAGCTTTGTTCTTTTTGCTTAGAATTGACTTGGCTATGTGGGCTCTCTTTTGGTTCCATATGAAGTTTAAGGTGGCTTTTCCCAATTCTGTGAAGAAGGTCATTGGTAACTTGATGGGGATAGTATTAAATCTACAAATTACTTTAGGCAGTATGACCATTTTCAGGATATTGATTCTTCCTAACCATGAGCATGGAATGTTTCTCTATCTGTTTGTGTCCTCTCTTATTTCGTTGAGCAGTGGTTTGTAGTTCACTGTGAAGAGGTCCTTTACATTCTTTGTTAGTTATATTCCTAGGTATTTTATTTTCTTTGTAGCAATTGTGAATGGCAGTTTGTTCTTGATTTCACTCTCTTTAAGTCTGTTATTGGTGTATAGGAATGCTTGTGATTTTTGCAAATTGATTTTTGTATCCCAAGATTTTGCTGAAGCTGCTTATGAGTTTCAGGAGATTTTGGGCTGAGGCAATGGGGTCTTCTAAATATACAATCATGTCGTCTTCAAATAGAGACAATTTGACTTCCTTCTTTCCTATTTGAATAACATTTATTTATTTATTTATTTTTGCCTAATTGCTCTGCCTAGAACTTCCAATACCATATTGAATAGGAGTGGTGAGGGAGGGCATCCTTGTCTAGTGCCAGATTTCAAAGGGAATGCTTCTAGTTTTTGCCTATTCCATACGATATTGGCTTTGGGTTTGTCGTTAATAGCTTTTATTATTTTGAGATATGTTCCAGCAATACCTAGTTCATTGAGAGTTTGTAGCATAAAGGGCTGCTGAATTTTGTCAAAGGCCTTCTCTGCGTCTATTGAAATAATCATGTGGTTTTTGTCTTTGGTTCTGTTTATGCAGTGAATTACATTTATAGACTTATGTATGTTGAACCTGCCCTGCATCCCTGGGATGAAGCCTACTTGATCGTGACGGATAAGCTTTTTGATGTGCTGTTGCAATCAGTTTGCCAGTATTTTATTGAAGATTTTTGCATCTATGTTTTTCATGGATATTGGCCTGAAGTTTTCTTTTCTTGTTGAGCCACTGCTTGGTTTTTGTATCAGGATGATGGTTGTCTCATGAAATGATTTGGGAAGGATTTCTTCTTTTGGGGTTGTTTGAAATAGTTTCAGAAGGAGTGGTACCAGCTCCTCTTTGTATGTCTGGTAGGATTAGGCTGTGAAACCATCTGGACTTGGGCTTTTTTTTTGGTAGGCTATTAATTGCTGCCTCAACTTCAGCCCTTGTTACTAGTCTATTCAGGGTTTTGACTTCTTCCTGGTTTAGGCTTGGGAGGAAGCAAGTGTCCAGGAATTTATCGATTTCTTCTAGGTTTACTGGCTTATGTGCATAGAGTTGTTTGTAGTAATCTCTGATGGTAGTTTGTATTTCTGTGAAATCTGTGGTGATATCCCCTTTATCATTTTTTATTGAATCTATTTGATTATTCTCTCTTTTCCTTTGTATTAATCTGGCTAGTGTTCTATTTTGTTGATCTTTTCAAAAAGCCAGCTCCTGGATTAACTGATTTTTTGAAGGGCTTTTTGTGTCTCTATCTCCTTCAGTTCTGCTCTAATCTTAGATATTTCTTGTCTTCTGCTAGGTTTTGAGTTTTTTTGATCTTACTTCTCTAGCTCTTTCAATTTTGATGATAGGGTGTGAATTTTAGATCTTTTCTTGCTTCTCATGTGGGCATTTATTGCTTTATATTTTCCTCTAGACACTGCTTTAAATGTGTCCCAGAGATTCTGGTATGTTGTGTCTTCGTTCTCATTGGTTTTGAAGAACATCTTTATTTCTGCCTTCATTTCATTGTTTATCATGTCAGTATTCAAGATCCTGTTGTTCAGTTTCCTTGATGTTGTGCTGTTCTGAGTTAGTTTCTGAATTCTTAGTTCTAACTTGATTGCACTGTAGTCTGATAGACTGTTTGTTATGATTTCTGTTCTTTTCCATTTGCTCAAGAGTGATTTACTTCGAATTATGTGGTCAATTTTAGAGTAGGTGTCATGTGGTGCTAACAGGAATGTATATTCTATGAATTTGGGGTGGAGAGTTCTGTAGATATCTGTTAGGTTTGCTTGGTCTAAGTATGAGTTCAAGTCCTGTATATCTTTGTTAATTTTCTGTCTCATTGATCTGTCTAATATTGACAGTGGAGTGTTAAAATCTCCCACTATTATTGTGTGGGAGTCAATGTCTCTTTGTAAATCATTATGAACTTGCTTTATGTATCTTGGTGCTCCTGTATTGGGTGCATATGTATTTAGGATCATTAGCTCTTCTTGTTGCATTGACCCTTTTACCATTATGTGATGTCCTTCTTTGTCTCTTTTGATTTTTGTTGGTTTAAAGTGTATTTTATCAGAGACTAGGATTGCAACTCCTGCTTTTTTTTTTTTTTTGGCTCTCCATTTGCTTGTTTAATCTTCCTCCATCCCTTTATTTTGAGCCTATGTGTATCCTTGCATGTGAGATGGCTTTCCTGGATACAGCACACTGATGGGTTTTGAGTTTTTATCCAGTTTGCCAGTCTGTGCCTTTTGATTGGGGCATTTAGCCCATTTACTTTTAAGGTTAATATTGTTATGTGTGAATTTGATCCTGCCATTTTGATGCTAGCTGGTTGTTTTGCCTGTTAGTTGATGCGGTTTTTTCATTGTGTCGATGCTTTTTACCATTTGATATGCTTTTGGAGTGGCTGGTACTTGTTGTTCCTATGTTTAGTGCTTCTTTCAGGAGCTCTTTTAAAGCAGGCCTGGTGATGATGAAATCTCTGAATAATTGCTTGTTCGTAAAGGATTGTATTTCTCCTTCACTTATGAAAATCAGTTTGGCTGGATATGAAATTCTAGGTTAAAAGTTCTTTTCTTTTAGGATGTTGAATATTGGTCCCTACTGTCTTCTGGCTTGTAGTGTTTCTGGTGAGAGATCCTCTGTGAGTCTGATGGGCTTCCCTTTGTGGATAACCTGAACTTTCTCTCTGGCTACCCTTAGTATTTTCTCCTTCATTTCAACCCTGGTGAATCTGACGATTATGTGCCTTGGGGTTGTTCTTCTTGAGGAATATCTTTGTGGTGGTCTCTGTATTTCCTGGACTTGAATATTGGCCTGCCTTCCTAGACTGGGGAATTTCTCCTGGATAATATCCTGAAGAGTGTTTTCCAGCTTGGATTCATTCTCTCTGTCCCATTCAGGTACACCTATCAAAAGTAGAGTAGGTCTTTCCACATAATCCCATATTTCTTGGAGGCTATGTTCATTTCTTTTTACTCTTTTTTATCTAATCTTGCCTTCTCATTTGATTTCATTGAGTTGACCTTCGACCTCTGATAGCCTTTCTTCTGCTTGGTCACTTTGGCTATTGAACCTTTTGTATGCTTCACTAAGTTTTCGTGTTGTGTTTTTCAGCTTCAAAAATTCATTTATATTCCTCTCTAAGCTGTTTATTCTCATTAGCATTTTGTCAAGTCCTTTTCCAAGGCTCTTAGTTTCTTTGCATTGGATTAGAATACGTTCTTTTAGCTCAGAGGGGTTTGTTATTACCCACCTTCTGAATCCTGTTTCTGTCAATTCATCAGACTTATTCTCCATCCAGCCTTGTTCCCTTGCTGGTGAGTAGTTGTGATCCCTTGGAGGAGGAGAGGTGTTATGGTTTTGTGTGTTTTCATCATTTTTGTGCTGGTTTCTTCCCATCTTTGTGGATTTATTAACATGTGGTCTTTGTAGTTGATGACATTCAGATGGGGTCTCTGAGTGGGCATCCTGTTTGTTGATGATGAAGTTATTTCTTTCTCTTTCTTAGTTTTCTTTCTAACAGCCAGGCCCCTCTGCTGTAGGACAGCTCAAAGTTCACCTCAGACCCTGCTTGGCTGGGGATCATCTGTTATGGCTGTAGAACAGTAAGGGTTGCTGCCAGTTTCTTCTGCTATCTTTGTCCCAGATGGGTACCCGCCAGATGTCGGCCTCAGCTTTTCCTTATAAGGTGACTCTTTGGATATATGGGGCTTGGGGAGGTGCTTGAGGAGACAGTCTGTCCTTTGTAGGAGCTCAAGTGCTCAGCTGTGAGCTCTGTTGTTCCATTCATAGCTTCTGGGCAGGTACATTTAAGTCTGCTGCAGCAGAACTCATAACTGCCTTTTTTTTCTCCTGGTCCTCTGTCCTGGGAAGGTAGGGCTTTATTTATAAGTTTCTGTCATGCTGCTGCCTTTTTTTCAGGGATGCCCTGCTCAGTGAGTAGGTAGCCTAGTCACAGTGTGCCAACACAGGCATTGCTAAGTTGCCATGGGCTCTGCCCAGCTACTGTGTGAACTTCCTTGCAGTTTTGTTTATAGGGGTATAGTTAGAACTGCCTCTGTAATGGTGGACTCTCTCTGCAATGGCGGACTGCCTCTGTAATAGCAGACTGCCTTAGTAATGGCGCACTGCCTCAATAATGGCAGGCTGCCTCGGTAATGGAGGACTACCTCGTTAGTGGTGGAATGCCTTGGTAATGGCGGATGCCCTTCTCCAGCAGAGCTGGACCATCTGGCTCCCTGTTTCAGTCCCCTTTTTATCAGTTGAACAGGCAACTCTGTCTCCCATGCATTCCAGTCACCAGTTGAAAAGGCATCTGGATTTGTGTGAGTTTTTGTGTGGAGACCTGCTGCGCTGGCTGAAACAGCCACGCTGGAGACTCCTGGTGCATTTTTGCTCAGGAATCTCCTGGCCTGGCTCCCTGTTTTAGTCCCCTTTTTTTCAGTTGAATGGGTGACTCTGTCTCCCAGGCATTCCAGTTGCCAGTTGAAAAGGTACCCGGATTTCTGTGAGTTTTTGTGTGGAGGCCTGCTGCACCAGCTGAAACAGCCCTGCTGGAGACTTATGGTGTTTTTCTGCCTGGGAATCTCCTGGCCTGGCTCCCCGTTTCAGTCTGTTTTTTATCAGTTAAACAGGTGACTCTGTCTCCCAGGCATTCCAGTTGCCTGTTGAAATGGTGCCCAGATTTGTGTGAGTTTTTATGTGGAGACCCACCGCACCAGCTGAAACATCCATGCTGGAGACTCGTGGTGTTTTTCCGCCTGGGAATCTTCTCGGCTGTGGGCAATAAAAATTTGTTTGGAAATGTGGTGACCACTCACCCTCTGTGTTTCCGCTGGGAGCTGCAATCCAGAGCTGTTCCTATTCAGCCATCTTGGATCCCTCTTCACCTTACATATTTTCTTCTGAGACACATGTCCTGGTAATGAATACTCATCAAATTGATAAGGAAACAATTTGGGAAAGTGGAAGAGAGGAATCTTTGTGATA